AAATTCAAAGAAGTTGTAGCATTTTTTGATCAGATGGATGAAAAAGTAAAATATTTACGTTAATCTGTATCATTAATTAATATAATGATATTAACTGATTTTAACAAATTTATAGGCCAATAAAAATATATTCAATGCCAAAACCAATTTATATGGGTCAGAAGTCGCAGTGCAAATGATTAATAACAAGTTGACTGATTTTCAATATAAAACGTCTTTGTTGAAAAGAAATAATGAGGAAGCAAATACTGTGAGTTGTAATATATTTTTTGTCTTGTGTTGATCAACATATTTAATTTTAAAATATATGAATATATTATTCTCAATAGGCATGTTTACTTAATAATGATGGAATAAAGAGACAGCATAGTCAAAAAGATTCCAGAACTTTTAACAAAAGACAGCCTAGATACTAGTGTAGGAGGCATGGGTCTCTGGGCATGTCCATGAGGCATGCCCTCCTGGGCACGCCCATATCATGTGATCATGAGAAAGATTTCACGCGTATGATTGGCTGATATAAATCTAATATTTTACCTTTTATGTCATAAGAACGCTAATATTGCCTGCTGTTACTACATAAAACAATCTCAAAATCGAATCTCTCTACTTAAAATTCAAATGACTATTAGCAATATAAATACTACAAGCCTAACTAAAGATAATTAGAATGTTTAATACAAGTTTAAAGACCTTTATATATTATAGTACCATTTAGCTTAATCTATTATTAATTAATATTATAGAAATTAAGTCCCAATATCATTAGTGAAATGCATAAATGAGGTTTATATTAAGTAATTATGGTCTTATTTTCTTATTCAAATACTTATATAATTACGTATGTTTATGCTAAATGAAAATTATTTATGTTGCACAAGCAAACTTATTATATGATTTATATACTAGGGGCATGCCCAAGGCACGATAAGTAAGGCATGCCTCTGTCCAAGGCATGCCCCTGGGGGCATGCCCAAAAATTTTACCGTGCCTCCTACACTACTAGATACAGATGAGGATTTGATTATTGGAAACTTTAATGTTAGAGAATTGCTAATGAATTGGAAATTGAAAAATAATCCGCCTCATGACGAGTATGTTTCTTTTTTTTTTAAAACAAAAAATAATAATTTTTAAGTTACACTAAGATTTATTTTACTAATAAGTCTTGCAACAGTCTTGCATATTATGACATATTAGATATCACTCCAGGTACAAATAGTAAATTTGTTAAAAACTATTTGCTACCGGAAGCATATGATCAGCTTATAACCTATGAACCAACACCACAAGAAAGAGATTATAATGAAATCAAAGATTTTATTAATAATATAGTAAAAGTATATAACAATTCTTTTATAGTGTTTTTTCAAATTATTTCAACAAATTTCACATCACACTCCACGAAAATCTGGAAATTATTTGTTCCAATTTTTATTATTTTATAAAAAAAAATTCAATATTAATTTTTCTTTCAAACTTCAAAGATTTTAATAATTGTCTAGTAAATTTCAATGTTTAAGACTATTTTTGAATTCTACTAATCTATAGAATTCGAAAAATAGTTTTGATTGATAAAAATAACCCAAACATGCCAAGTACCTTCGCTCAAAATTTGTAAAAATTTAGATGAAGAAAAATTTTTATTGTTGTTTAATCAACAAACTACAAGCTCTATTATACAAACAAATATTGTACTAAGAATTAAAATTGTTATTGTTTAGATGGGAATTTGGAAAAAGTGTAAAATTTCTAAGATTTCTGTGTGATAGATGATTACAGTAATTTGAAAAGCACTCTAGTAACGTTATATTTATTATATTTATTATCTTTATAGGTTACTGATTTTAAAAAATCAGTTGTCGATCATTATTTACTTACTCGTAATGATGATGAAAAAGAATTTTTGTGGAATTACATAAATTTATTGTAATATTTGTTTGCTATACGTGAAGAACCAAATTATTTTAACTTTAAGAAACAGTTCCTTACCTTTATATTTACAGAGTTCATTCATTTGAAAGAGATAACGACTTATTAAATGAAGCTTTATCTGAAAGAATGTACCGGGAGACGTTTTTGACACCATTAATCACTAGCCTATTTCAAAAAAAGTTTAAGGACATGAAAATTTACTTGTAAGTAAAATTTTATATTACCTATGCTTAATTTTTAAAGAAATTATATTAATATAAAATAAAAAAAATATATTAGTGGAGAGAAGAATTTGTTTGCCTCTGCAGAAGATTTTGATTTAAAAAAAGATGATAAAGAGAATCGTAGCAATGGTCATAAAATAGATATTGTTTGGACTACTAAGCCCTTAAAAATTGAATTTGCCATTGCAGAGATAAGTGGACCTCCAAATGAACATCAACATTCCCATTACTTTAATGACAAAATCAAGATAGCTAAAATGTTAAAGGTTATGTTGAATAGAATAGTACGAGTATATGGCGGC